TTCTTTATTATTATTAACAGATATGTTTGTATTTTCCTGAAAGATAAAACTAAATGTTTAACAAAGAGGGGAAAAATAAAACGTTAACGTGTGATTTTAATAAATTATTGTTTTGGTAGTTAAAATATTAATACACCTGTTATTGTATCTTTAACTCTACATTCAGGTAATATTAGGATCAAATACACACACACTCACCACTACAGCCACGTGTGACGTTTACTCCTCTGCTCTCAACGTGCCGTCTCTATGGTAACCGCCTGCAGAGAGGCGGAGCCTGACAGGACACGCCCACTGCAGCATGCTTCACATACTCAGTCACACTGTGTGCGCGTGTGTGTTTATTTATATATATATATATATATATATATATATATATATATAAATAATTTGAGCTCATATGGAGCTTCAGTCTCTGAGTTTGTTTGATGGGGATGTTTGTTTTGTTCACCCTGGACTACAACCCCTCCCTGCCTGTTATCCAACCCCACCCTCCCTCTCAGGTGGTAACAACAAGTAGAACAGATGATAAGAGAGGATATGCTGTGTGAGGTTCAGGTACAGTCTGTAACTCTGAGCTCTGTCTCCCTGTAGAAACCCTGCTGGACGACTTCCTGCTGACGCATCCCATCTTCCTGGCAGCCGACAGGTTCCAGCAGGTCCTGATGCAGCAGTATCCTTCAGACACGTTTAGCTCAGCTCCGCTCTTTCTCTCGCAACTACATGTATGTGTATATATACATATATGATTTTACAACCTGAACTACTGCATTACGTAATTCAGCTCAACATGAACATTTGAGTGAGCATGTAAATATATAATATATGTATATAATGTAAAATGTGTCAAAAAGCACTTTGCATAAAATCCCCTAAAAGAATCCAATCACATCTGAGCTCCACTTGAATCTTTGTAGTTCAAAATAGAAATGAAAGTGTTTTTCTTCTTCTCTCTGCAGTGATAGTCGTCCACTTTAAAACTCACCCACACACAGAGAGAAGAAGAGCAGCCGGAGGGGGAGGACAGGAAGTAGAGCAGAGGGAGAAGTGGGTGGACGGAGAAGAAGACCAGTGTTGTCTTCTTCTCCTTCATCGGCTGCTTTATTTGTTCCTCTCTTTGGTGTTTGAGAGAAACAGACAAACTTAAGATAGATTACCGTTGTGTTGTAGATTATAGATTATATATTATAAGGATGTGTTGTCGTAACTACATCTCTGACGTTTATAACAAACCGTTTAGAAATCGGTTAAAAATGAAGCCAGTTATTATTATTTAATGTACATGTACCACTACCAACACAATGCTACGGGTGAGCCAACTGACTGTAGCAAGATGGCCGCCCTTTGCGGACGTTCTAGACTTCTAGACTCGTCCGTAAGCCTTTACATATATATCTATGGGAGACGTAAGCCTTTATATATATATATATATATATATATATATATATATATATATATATATATATATATATATATATATATGTGTATCTATGGGAGACGTAAGCCTTTATATATATATATATCTGTGGGAGAACGGGTGACAGTTGGCGGCCATGTTTGTTTGTTGTCCTGTTTATTCCTGTGCTGATGGAGCGTTTCGGGACAGAAGATGTCTCATGTGCGCAGACTGTAAAGTCCTCTGAGGCACATTTGTAATTTGCGATTTTGGGCTACAAAATAAAATGAAATGAATTCCCTTTGCTGACTGTCAAAGATCTGAAAATAGACACATTCCATCACATGTCGTTTATCTGACGCTTTTATCCAAAGCGACTTAAATAAGAACATTTCAACCATCAGGACACAAACTCAGAAGAACAAGAAACAAGAAAGTGTGATTTCATCAAATAAGCCAGTTTCCAACTTGCTGTAGATAAGAACCATCATAAGTCCAATGTAAGTGCTACAGTTAGTTAGTGTGTTAGTGGAGGTAGAGTGTGAAGAGGTGTGTCTTTAGTCTGAAGATGTGAAGGCTCTCCGTGGTCCTGATGTCTTCAGAGACCTCCTTCCACCATTTAGGAGCAGGACAGCAGAGAGTGGAGATCTAGTCGAGTGTTTTGCCATAAAACATGGTGGACATTTTATTTCCCATTTTCATAACATCGCTCTTGTTCTCAGCTGGAGTGTGTGTGGAACATGTGGTCTGTGCGGCTCCACTGATAAATGGGTCATCATGGCGGCGCTGAGTCTTCTCATGAGAGCTTCTGCTCGGAGTCTTAAACATCAAACCGGAGCCCATTAAAGATGAATATTCAATTGCCCCTTTTATTGTATTGTGTTCATTTTGTTTTATACACGTCTTTTTCCAATGATACATTTACATTTCTGCATCTTTCCATTTCCCCACAGTTCGACGTTTATTAAATATAATTTTTGATTTGAAACTGAATTGATCCTTAACCTTCACTCAGATTCAGTCTGGAAACGCAGGGTGAGGAGGGAGGAGGAGGCGGGTCGGAGGTGGCGAGGAAGCGGGCGGTGCTGAGCGTGGTGTTCAGGTACCTGGACACCTACAGAGAGCTTCTGCAGGAGGAAGGGGAGCGCAGCAACAGCTTCCCCAAGGTAACACACACACACACACACACACTGACCAACCATGAGAGGGGACGTTGTCATGGTGACCACTTTAAAGCTTTAAAAAATCTTTATTATCAATTGGTGAACAGGAAGTGACCATATATGGACACAGGAGGACTTGGAGACACAATATACGTCACTGTTAGAGACCTGTCAATCAGCATGTAGCCCCGCCCTAAAGCGTCCCCTGCTTTATGGTCTGTGTGACCCTTAATGGACCATCAGTCACTAAATGAACATCACGTTGTGTTGAAGAAGACTTGAAACTAGAGACTGAGACATAAACTCATGTTTACAATGTTTACTGAGGGAATAAATCCAGAGAGAAGTAGAGTCATTTCCTCATAGACGTCTATGGGAGCAGAGGAGTCGCCCCCTGCTGGTCACCACAGAGAAGTAGAGTCATTTCCTCATAGACGTCTATGGGAGCAGAGGAGTCGCCCCCTGCTGGTCACTACAGAGAAGTAGAGTCATTTCCTCATAGACGTCTATGGGAGCAGAGGAGTCGCCCCCTGCTGGTCACTACAGAGAAGTAGAGTCATTTCCTCATAGACGTCTATGGGAGCAGAGGAGTCGCCCCCTGCTGGTCACTACAGAGAAGTAGAGTCATTTCCTCATAGACGTCTATGGGAGCAGAGGAGTCGCCCCCTGCTGGTCACTACAGAGAAGTAGAGTCATTTCCTCATAGACGTCTATGGGAGCAGAGGAGTCGCCCCCTGCTGGTCACTACACAGAATGCAGCTTAAAGACGTTTACTAATAGCAGCTCGTTGTAAATAAAGAGTTCTGATACACTGTAAGTTTGTTCCCAGCTGTTGTCACAACAACTTTCTATTCCGTTCTAATTATATTCATTGCCGTGTGTGTGTGTGTGTGTGTGTGTGTGTGTGTGTGTGTGTGTGTGTGTGTGTGTAGGAGCTGTACCTGTGTGCGGTTCAGGAGCTGAGTCAGTATCCTGAGCTGGTGGAGGACGTCCTCAAACTACAGAGATGGACGGAGATCTTAAACTCACCGTAAGACATCAGGACTGGATATTTACTTACTTCTATGTATTCTATTGTATTTGTCGTGTATATTATTTTATATCATCGTGTTTTTATTCACACACTTAATAATGCAGTTATTCTGTACCCTTGACTTAAGCCACATGTCAAACATTATTGATATTATCACATGATGTAGTGACTGCGTGTCACATGATGTAGTGACTGCGTGTGATGTAGTGACTGCGTGTCACATGATGTAGTGACTGCGTGTCACATGATGTAGTGACTGCGTGTCACATGATGTAGTGACTGCGTGTGATGTAGTGACTGCGTGTCACATGATGTAGTGACTGCGTGTCACATGATGTAGTGACTGCGTGTGATGTAATGACTGCGTGTGCAGCTCTGTTGCAGAGAAGGAGAGCAGGAGGAAGCAGGTCCGTCCTCTCTTCAGACACTTCAGACGGATCGACGCCTGTCTGCAGCCCAGAGAGGCCTTCAGGGGCTCCGACGAGAGTACGGCACACGCAAACCCAAGCTTAGCGTAAACAATGCAAACTATAAAGAAGCTAGCCAACGGCTATACATGCTAACTGTAAGCTAATAGAAGCTAAATGACCAGGAATGTTTTCAATGCTTGGTTCCCTCCATCTGACAGTCGAGAGGCTCCTAGTTTCACATCCATCACGGTTCCGTTGGGTCTCTGCTGCTACTCGATGTTTGTATTTATTCAGTCGGGGGAACAGCTGACGAGGTGGGGGGGGGTCTATTGAAAAGTAGGTCGCCAGGCGAAACGTGTGGGCAACGTTGTACTAGAAGCTAAACGTCTTTATAACGAACCCAGAAGAGAACTGGATCCAGTGATCCAGCGTGTCGGGACCACAGCTGACCAAACGTCTCTGCGTTGTCTGGCCTCCAGTCTTCTGCAGGGTCTACACCCCCGACCACTCCTACGTCACCATCCGGAGCCGTCTGTCCTGCCGGGTCGGGGAGATTCTGGCTCTGGTCCGAGAGAAGCTGCAGTACAGCGAGGACCAGCCGGTGCTGCCCGGGAACCTGGTCCTGGTGGCCGTCACCTCCGCCGGAGGTCAGGAGACGCAGATTTAATCTTTCTACGGGTTATTGATCAGCGTAATGACGTCCGTGTCTCATGATGTCACAGAGAAGGCCGTGTTCCGACCCAGTGACGAGGCCGTCTTCACCACGCTGGGAGTCAACACTCACCTGTTCACCTGCGAGCCCAGCGAGCTGGACTCCCTGGTGAGCGCGGACGGATCGGATGGTTGATCAGTTTATTGATCGCTTCATTGGTTTGTTCGTTGATTGATTGTCGGGTGTTTTTAACTCTGTTTGTTTTCAGTGTTTCTAACTTCATTAAATTATTGAACGTCAGGAAGTAAATACAAATGAAGTGATGAAGTCATTTCCTGCGCCCGTAGCTTCCGCTTCCTGAGGAGATCCACTGGACGCCCGGAGACAGCAAACTGCACGACATGTCGGCCGAGGAAGTGGCCAATCAGCTGGTGGCGTTCGACTGGGAGCTCTTCAGCTGCGTGCACGAGGTGCGGAGGAACTCTACTAGCTTCTGCTAAAGATCTCACTGATTTGATGTCCAATTCAGCTCCGAAAGATCCTTCAGCTTTTGCACCGACGATTTGTCGAGTTTCTTTTATTAATTGTGCGACACGATGAATCGATAATGAGATTCGTTGCCGACTCTTTTGATAATTGATTTGATCGTTTCGTTGTTGCAATCCCGGTCAAATTCTTCTTTGTTGGTGTGCGCCTTAGGTGGAGTTTGTGTGCTACGTTTTCCACGGGGAGCAGTCCCGCTGGCGCCCCCTCAACCTGGAGCTGGTACTGCAGCGCTGCAGCGAGGTGCAGCACTGGGTCGCCACAGAGATCCTGCAGTGTCAGTCGCTGCCAAAGAGGGTCCAACTGCTCCGCAAGTTCATCAAGATCGCAGCACTGTGAGTCCCCGGGGCCCCGGGCAGGGGGGGTCACTGGGAGCCACCTGGGTGTTACCCGTCCTAACAGCTGCGTTCCGTGTGTGTTGCAGCTGCAAGCAGCAGCAGGACCTTCTGTCCTTCCTGGCGGTGGTTTTGGGTTTGGACAACCCGGCGGTGAGCAGACTGCGACTCACCTGGGAGGTACGACCCGCTAGCTCACACGAGACCAGTACACAGAACCACCAGAAGCTAACGCTAACGTTTAGCATTCAGAAGCTAACTGTGAGATAATTCAATTCAATTCATTTTATTTTGTAGAGCCCAAAATCGCAAATTACAAATTAGCCTCAGAGGACTTTACGGTCTGTACACATACGACGTCCTCTGTCCCGAAACCATCGGCACAGGAAAAACTCCCCAAACAATGAAAAAACCCTTGAGGTTTTTTCCCCAAGAGGGAAAAAAGGGAAGAAACCTCAGTGAGAACGTCAGAGGATCCGTCTCCTGATGGACAGACTACAATGATGTCATGAGGACACAATGAACAATGTGTAATACATGAGACTATATGACAGAATGATTCAAGTAACTGTGAGTAGTAAACCAGAACCACCAAAGAACCACCATCACATAGAACCACCATCACATACAACCACCATCACATAGAACCACCATCACATAGAACCACCACCACATAGCACCACCATCACATAGAACCACCATCACATAGAACCACCATCACATAGAACCACCATCACATAGAACCACCATCACATAGAACCACCATCACATAGAACCACCGTCACATAGAACCACCATCACATAGAACCACCACCACATAGAACCACCATCAGATAGAACCACCATCACATAGAACCACCATCAGATAGAACCACCATCAGATAGCACCACCATCACCACATAGAACCACCATCACATAGAACCACCATCGACTTTAGGAGAGGGTAATGTTGGTTTACGAGTCCAGTAATATGATTAATATCTAAAATAATAAGATGATGATGATGATGGCAGCAGCAGGCGTCAGCAGGGCCACGGCAGGTGTCAGGACCAGGGTCCAGAAGGAACCACGATCTACGATCTAACCACGATAGGGGAGAAAGCCCAAAAAAACTCCCGTAAAGAAGCTGAATTAGTGATGTGCATTAATAAAACGTGAATTATGGTAGAACGAGAGCGTGAGAGAGGAGTTCGGTGTGTCCTAAGAAGTCCCCCGGCAGTCTAAGCCTATAGCAGCTTAACTAAGGGCTGGTCCGGACTAACCTGAGCCAGCCCTAACTATAGGCACAATCAAAGAGGAAAGTTTTAAGTTTTACCATAAAAGAGCTGACGAATCTGCCCCCCGGACTGAAAGTGGAACCTGGTTCCACAAAAGAGGAGCTTGATAACTGAAGGCTCTGGCCCCCAGCCTACTGTTTAAAACCACAGGAACAACAAGTAACCAGCATCTATGGAGCGAATAAGCTGTTACAAGCTCTTTAAGATACGACGGTGCCTCACGAGCAGGTGCCTTAATAAAGATAATAGAACCTAGAAGCTAATAAAGCACTTTCTATTTTATAAAACAAGACAATAATGTAATTTACTGTTGTTGTTGTGCGTGTTGTGTTCAGGGTCTCCCGGGGAAGTTCAGGAAGCAGTTTCAGCAGTTTGAAAGCGTTGCGGTGAGTAAGAGATGTAGAGTATTTCCATGCTGTGGTAGTAGTACTTTTACTGCAGTAAAGGATCAGAGTACTTCTACTCCTTCAGGACCCGTCCAGAAACCACAAGTCCTACAGAGACCTGATCACCAGCCTGAGACCTCCGCTGATCCCTTTCACTCCTCTGCTGCTCAAAGGTGGGTCTGGACCGACACCGGTAGATCCAACCGACCAGTCATGTGACCTCGTGGTCCCCCGGAGTCTCCTGGACCCCTCATAGATCCTCTGAGTCCACGTTGCTCCTCCAGCTGTGGAACCCGATATTAAGCTTCGTGATTGGCCGTGAACCTGAAACACACCAATCAAACCAACGATGGCAGCGAGTATCAACCAATCAGGGGGCGAATGGGACGAGTCTTAGGTTATTTGCATGGGGTGCTGCATTGACAAAGGGCGTCCCGTACTGATCAGCACCAGGAGGAGCTCATGGGCCTCCGTCCAGGACAATGGGGGCTTCTGGGTATTTCTACAGGGCAGTAAAGGTGTGAAAAGCAGTGTCCATGTCGCATGTGACGTCTCCTGGGGCGTTCAAGTTGACTAGTTAATTACAGAATGAGGTATTACGCTGGATGCTGCGTTCAATAGAAGTGGTGTATTACATGCGTGCATTTGGGTTGATCGGTATTATTTATTGATTACATAGTTTCAGGCTGTATCCTGGTGCACACTAAACTAAACGCTGAGTGTGAATGGACTTAAGCTCTCTGTCTCCATGGTAACCAGAGGAACGTATGAGTCCAATGGTGAAAAAGAGAAGCGAAGTAAGAATTAATAGCAAATAATGTAAATAAACGTGTCTTCTTGGTGTCCGTCAGAAGTCTGCCATCGCATCAATAATCAGAATATTTCCTGCTTCTCCTTCAGATCTGACGTTCCTTCACGAGAGCTGTAAGACGTTTCACGGAGAACTCGTCAACTTTGAGAAGATGGTGAGTTAATAATCTGATGATGATGATGATGATGAAGGTGGTGGTGATGATAAGGAGGATGACGAGGATCCTCCTCTTCTTCCCCCTGCAGCACAAAGTGGCCGACATGGTGAGGATCATCAGGCGCTACAGGAGCAGCCAGCTGGGTAAACCTCTGTTTGTATTAAGCTGCTTGAACTCAAAGACCAGTATTAGAAGGTAACACGTGTGTAAGTGGTCGTCATGATGATGACGTCAAGAATCGCGACATTAAACTGCACAAAACTCTTGATCAGCACTCGGCATTTGTTTATTGTCGTCGGCCATTTAAAGCGCTTTGCAGAGAGAAGCGCGAGAGGTCTGTGGTCTTGTTAAATATGTTTAAACTTAAGTAAAGTACCTGTACATGTCATTTTTCCTGTTATTGACGCGACTAATGCGCAACCAGATATTCAAATATATTTGAATATCTGTTTTTTTTAAGCGAATACTCAAATGGAATTTTGAGCAATTTTGACAGCTGATTCCTTTGATGCTTTTATTGTGAAGGTCTTGTGCTGAGCGCTGTCTCCCTCTGCTGGAGGCGCCCCTGTTACGATGATGATGATCAATGACGTAATGACGCCTCTGCTCCTGTGTCCCCCTCGGTAGCCATGGATACGGAGACGTCCCCCCCACACCTGCAGACGAAGGCCTATGTCCGTCAGCTGCAGGTGATCGACAACCAGAACCTCCTGTTTGACATGTCCTGCAAGCTGGAGCCCAAAGACACATAGAGAGGAGGAGGAGGAGGAGGAGGCAGCTGTTGCCTAGGTACCATGAAGAGGAGGATGGGAGGCCTTCTTCTTCTGTCCATGGAATGTCCTCACTTCCTGTCCACTAACCCCAAGAAGAGCGGAAAAGATTTACATTAATAGAAAGAGAGAAGAAGAAGAGTCCTTGTGCAGGTTGTAAAGAGACAGGAATATTTAAATCTTAATATTAAGATTTAAGGAATAAATTAAGATAAGCAGGAATAAAATAAAAGTTATTAATAGGACTTTATTTACAGTCTTGGTTTAATTGAAATAGTGTACAGTAAAGTACATTAAACACCTTATATTGTTTTAATTTCATACATTCCTCTTAATATAAAATTGAACTTTAAGTAAATCATGTTCTAAAAACAAACCCTATATTATAATAATAATGATGATAACTGACAACTGACTTTTTATATTATTTATTATTAAATTAATATAGATGGATTAGTGAAGATAAATAGTAACAAAAACATTATTATTACTTAACTAATCCCCCGACCCCAAAAATAATAAATAAGTTCACCATTGAAAGTTTATATATCTATATTTGACTTATATTTCTCGACCTTTTACAACGCGAATCCCGGTCGTGTGGCGCCGCCCCCTTTCCCCTCCTGCAGCGGTCGACCAATCAGACGAGAACTGTGAACCCTTGAGTGGGCGGAGCTGAAGTATAATGGATGTCAACAACAACAAGCTGTCAAACAGCTGATCGGCTGAGACAATAATCAGAGAAACATTCCAGGATTTCTATTTTTCCATCCAAACAAAACTGGATTAAAGGACGACGGCGGCCGTGTTTACATCCGGCCTCAGTTTGACCTCCGCAGGGCGGTGACGGGCCGGGTCGCCGGTCGTGGTGCGTTCGTGTGCAGTCGGAGACGAGAGCGCATAGATGCTGGTTTTCTACCGAACATTCGTAAGTTTTTTTTCTTTATGAGTTTTGTTTTGAGAAAAACAACGACGTCGTCATTAAGCGTTTAAAGTTCTCTTTAGAGGACCAGTTAACTAGCGGAGCAATCGCTAACGGCTAACGGCTAACAGCTAACAGCTAACCAATGGAAGATCGCTTTGGTTCCGAACACGAGCTCTAAGCTCATTATAATATTGACAATGAAAATACAATATTTCATTATCATTTGAGAAAATTACCAAAAGTCTAGTAAAAGTATAACATTTTGTTTGTCTTTATCATCATCAATAAACGATGATCAGCAGCAATAGAATTGTGATCAGACATTTTCCACCTTATTTATTGTTCTTATTTAAGAGTTTTATGAGCCGTTGCTCCTCTGGTGTCAGCATGTGTACAAACTAAATCCCACTAGATGTCTTCAATAACCAAATTGGATTTGAATTTAAAACTATTAATGTTTCATATTAAAAGGAGACAACGTTCTCAGCTGGTTCCAGAGTTTCTGATTAAATGTAAACAATGTGTATATTAAGAAAAGTACTGATTGGGCCGATGGTCACACGAGGACGCCAATACAGACGCTTCTTTTGATCTGACTCCATCCCGTCTCATCGACCAATCGGCTGCGAGGGCAGACCCCACTTGGCCCGCAGAGCTGCGCCGCCATTGGTGGATTCAGTCGTCCGAGGCAACAACAAGTGAAGCCGGTTGGTCGACTTATCGCAGCAACAAAGCACTTTTAGCCAAACCTCAGGGCTCAGAGAATGAGAGGTTTTGTTTACTCTTCATTCTAGGTTCCTTTCAGTAGAGTCGGTTCTGTTGAGTCCAGCTGTGATGCGTCAGTGGGTTCTGTGTTTGTGCAGCTGATAACAATAGAAATCTACAGGTTGGTTGTTTTCCTGCTGTCTGAGTCGACGCTTTACTCTGAAGAGATTCTCTCCCAGAAACTAGACCTTTGGTTGATGCTACATGCTGCTACATGCTGCTACATGCTGCTACATGCGGCTACATGTGGCTACATTTGGCTACATGCTGCTACATGCTGCTACATGCTGCTACATGCTGCTACATGCTGCTACATGATGCTACATGATGCTACATGTTGCTCCCTGACTCTTTTCTCTTTGCAAACAGAGATTTTAAGGAAAGAAAACAATTACATGACAAAGAGACTATTTTGAGATAAATAGATCTTTTAAACTAGATTTGTAATAAGATGTTGATTTGTAAAACTTTCCTTTCTCACCCTAATGGACCTTTTCTTGGTTTGTTGGGACGGAACTCTTCAGAGCATTACGACGGTTCACTTGTTTGCCTAAATGACGTGAAAAGGTGCACATGTGTGCTCAGCTGTGTGAGACTTCCTGTAGAAGCTCAGAGGACGATCTCGTCCAGAGACGTCCGCTTCCTGTCCAGTTGAAACCTCTGGAGACACTTTAGGACACAACCACACTTTACTTTATTCTTATTTATTTGTTTCTTTTACGACCTGACTCTTGTTTTGGTAGTTTGGGGACATCGTGGACAAAGTGAGACAGTTTGAAAAGCAGGAAATGGTTTTGAATCTTATTCATTTTGGTTCCAAGTTTTTCACCCGAAGATCTTTTACAGCATTTGACATCTTAAACATTTGAACCAAGTGACTGGATGAAACTAAATCTGTGAATCATCTCTGCTCCAACGAGAACTTCACTGTATCTCAACTCTTTCTAATACGGAGCCTCAGAACTTTTTTAACGAGAGTAGAAAGTTTCCAGAACACGAGTGAAAAATGTTGATAAAATCTATTTTTTGAGAACCAGAGTTTCTTGTGGAGTCCGAGGCGTTTGCTTCGGTCTGATCGCCCAGTGAAGATGACATCACAGTCTCAGGACCACTGCGTCGATCCACAGAACCGCCCTGTGATTCGGACCCGTGGTAGATCTTCTGGGGTCTACGATGGGGAGGCCGGGTCTCCTGAAGTAACACACGTGTAAATAATGCAACCCTGTAAAGAAAAAACTACCGGAGACTATTTTATTTATGAGCCCAGAACCAACTCAAGGAGAAACATTTGATGCGAGGTTTTTTATTTGTAAAGGAGAAGGTGTACAGGAAGAAAGAAATGATGAATTTATGACTTTAAGTTCTGTTTGATCGCTCTGTGTTTTCTATCTGCGGCTTTGGGTGGTTTGTTTGTTTGTTTGTTTTTGTACAGAAATGGTTGTTTACAGCGATAAAATCGAGCGCGTGTGATTGGAACAGAGGTCTTGGAGGAGGCGGGGACTGAGTGCCCGCGATCAATATCGGAGTATTGATACAGAAATTGATACAAATGTTAAAAAAATATTGTGAGACTTTAATTTTGTTGTATTATTATTCATTCTTAATACATGAATCTTTGTTTTACTGAGGAGCCACAATATAATGTTACATAAAGGTCATAATAAAGGGAGAATCAGCAGCCAATAGGATGCTAAGAATAAAGTCCACATCTTGTGAGTAAAAATCTCTTATTAAAGCACATTTTGGAATAAAATAAAGAATTTTACAAAAGTAATATAAAATAAGTGAAAAAAAGCATAAAACTCTTAATATAACTTGTTCCTGTTGTATAAAAGTGAACCATATAAATTCATAACTTACATTTTATATTAGGAGGAAATATTACAATTTTCTCACAAAAAGATAAAACAAGTTTCTCCCTTTATGACATCATGCTTCATGTTTCTTGTGTTACGTTTTATTCTTTTGGTCAGAAGCTCCTCGTGTTTCTACTGATCCTTTTTTCACAGATTCATTTTTCACACTTCTGTTGAATCGTGAAAGACGAGTTAATG